TATCCATGAATTTAGTAAGATTGGTTCAACACTATTTCACGATGTATCCCAAAGCAGTGGTTACTTTTTCAACAAAAAAGTTGGGGGCCTGAATATTTCGACTTTCACCCTCCTCTCCGCACTATAAAAAATAGTTTCTTTAAGTTAGACATATTTTCTAAGTTTCATTTCTTATCTTTAACCTCTCATGGCCTTGTCTACATAGTTCTGTAGGCTTCGTTCTAAACAATTATGTTAGCTCTTTGTATTCTTCATAATTATTTTTAATTTAATTTTTTCTCAATTTTTTCCCTCTCTTTATAGGTCAGAAAGACGGGGGAACTCAAATTAAGCTTATCATAGACTATGAGAATTCCGAACAAGCCTTATTCAAGCCTCAGAGGTGAGTTGTACACCCAATTTTCTCAAAATTTATTGTTTTCCTTGTCTTTTTCTTTTTGAACAGCCACGTTCAGCGATGAATATTTTAAATTTCTATCATGTGTATGTCATAGTCAAAAGCCGCAACCTTGACCAAATGCGATGTTTATGATTCGTCAGATTTTCCATTGTTAAGCATGAAAGTTTTGCAATAATTCAGCTTTTGTCCAGTCAGACCGCGATGTGATTGGTCAAATTGCCATCGGACCACACATATGTTGATGGCCAAGTCCAATCATTCGTTAAGTATGATGAAGAAAATATTACTAGAAAGGGACAACATCTCACCTAAAAGTAAGAAGTGCACGATTTAACGCATATTGCTCATTGCTTTTTTCATTTATTTATTCATATTTTTATTTTATATTTTGTAAGGGGGCTGGAAACAGAAAATTACGTTACGTGTGCGGTGAGTGCGTATTGCGTAGTTCTAAGTGCAACGACGAGAATCAATGCAGTAATAAATAATCGATACATTTCAAATATTGTCATTAAAATTCATTTGTACTATTGATTACAACTTTGTAAGTTTAGAAACACATAAGTTATTTGATGTCGACGAACTTTCTCTTAAAAGAAAAATCAAGTTATTTCAATGGTAAAATATACATCGATTTAACTCATCTTTGGTAACCGTGCCAAAAAAATGAAATCAAATTAGATGAAACAGGTAATAAAAGCTTACAATCCCATTGTCATTCATGCACGATGGCATCAGGCAGCACCTCTTGAAATAAGGAAGTGCGGCTCTACCTGTCCTTCTAAATTTTTCATTCTGCTCAAGCCTCCTCACCACACAATCGTCAAACGTGTCAAATTTGACCAATCACATCCTGATCCGATTGAACAGGAGCCGAGTTGTTGCAAAAATTACGAATTTGACCGTGGTGTCTTTGACAAATCGTAATTAAACGAAACCAATTGAACTGCACTTTGCATTAAGAAACTATAATTCCTGGCTCACGCATGAAAACACCTATCTGCATAGGGAAACTAGTGGCGTATTTGTTGTATCCACATTGAGCTAAAAAATGCAGTTCCTAATTGCAAAATGTGGTCCAATTGCGATTTTACTGGGCTTGTGGACTTTTAATTCAAATATTCAACGGTGAAACTCGAACCGCATACCTCGAAAAATCCGATTTTTCAGGAAGGTGAAAACACCACCCTGAAATGTGACTCCAAAGTGTGAAAAAGGGAAATGGAAAATCCCAAGTTCAGTCATGGATCATTAGAAAAAAGAGTATGTATGTAGGTAGTGTGCCTTGACAGTTTGAAGAGTGCACAGATGAACGCACTTCATGGTGATGAATAATATAATCGGTGGGGTACCAAGCGGTGATGGACTGACGAGTTGGGTGCCCTTTTCACATCTCCGGAGAGCATTCTCTAAGTGAGATGAGTTGTGTATCTCTGAGCTACAATCTCCTGTTGCCCCGTGAAGGAGGGCCATTGCAGTTTTTTCTCCACTTTGTTTGAAAAACCCTATCAAACTTTTCATCCCATTACCATTACTCAACATTTTTAACGCCCTAAAGTTGTTCACTGGCACGGTGTATCGTTTTTTTCACGTGTTGGTCCTTTACTGAGCGCTTTTAAAACAGATTTAATTCTAGGTCAAAAATACCTTGGATTCCAATGCTCAAAAATTTTTCCGGCTTCCTGATGCGGAAGATCTTTCGATCAAACAACCCCATCCGGTCAGTCCAATGTGAAACCTTTCTGGTATCGTCTCGCGACTAATAGAACCTTTTCCCCTGAGAGTCTGATGAGGTTAGCCTCACTTGTTTAATTCAAGAAGTTGATCTCGGATGGCCTTAATTTCCCATATTATCCATCTATTTTTCAGGAAAAATTCCTCGGTCGGGAAATAAGTTAATTTTCCGAGAGATCCTGATGTAATGAATGAAAAACCAAGAAAATTTTTCCAATTAAGAATTCCCGGACGAAAGTTTTTGTTAATTCAATTAGAAATCTCTTTAAAGATGTCTCTTTGTAATAACAGAAATAACGCTTGAAACATGGAGATTTCCTGTTGCTTCATAACGAGAATTCTCGCCCGGGAACTATTAATTGGAATTTCCATTTATGCAACAGATATTTTTTCTCCGCGAAATAGTTTTTATTTTGACTCAGCGCTAGAAAACACACAGAAACCATCCATCTCACGCGAAGCGCCACAAATACATCACGTATTGACGTCATTACGTTATCTCCGGTGAAAATATCAAAAGAGCACGATTCGAAAACGCCACCAGTTTTTTGCACTCTGTCTTGGATTTTCTTTAAAAATTTAATTTGTCGTGCAATCCACATTTCGTTACCTTTATTTTTTCCCCTCATACGAAGATTGGTGTTGAGACCATAGGGACATCGAATGAATATTTAAGGAAACATCAAACGACCGTGATAATTCAATAAAAATATACACAAACAAATTGTATTAAACGATTCATTTAAGATAGGTAACGAAGAAATTCGGGGGACAGAACATTTTTTTTTATAAAAAATCATGGTGCAATACAACAAACTTTCCCCCATATTTCCTTCAACATTATCTATCAATTACTCAAAGTTGAGGCCTTCTTCCCCCGAATTTGTAGTATAATAGTGAAATAAACGGTTCGGGAGTTATGAGGCATGAAAATTGACGATGTGCTATAATCGGGCGAAAATTGCTGAAATCTGAGCAGCGCTGACACATATGTGTCATGTTCACCTCCTGCCGCCACCCCCGCTAATTCCGCTTGAGCAGTTCAGCGTAGCGCTCTTGTCAGTGCTCAGTGCACGGGAAGGGGAAGGTGAAGTCCACTTTGAGCTATTAGTGGAGTTACGGCACTTGGGTTTCATCAGATTTCACGAGATGAATGTGTGTGTTTTTGAGGAGATAACTATTCGAGCGCTGCGGTATGTTTTTTTGCCTATGCGGCGGAATTGAAGGCGAACCTCGAGTGACCGACATCTGCCACTAGGTTAACACGTTGGTCTGAAGCTTCTACCAATGTTATGGAACAAGATGAATCTGTTTATAACTGCTCAAGCTCCCCGGTATATTTGTCGCCTATGCGGCAAAATTGAAGTGCTGGGTGCAGAAAAAACATTTCTTGATTGCAGTCTTTCAGCATCTCCGTTAGCGTTTCATCTACTATAATTAAAGCAAATGCATAGAATTCGTTAAAACTTTTACCGAGTTTTTGTTATGGTGTAAACTAAAAATTTCAGAAAATTCACGTAATACTTTCTTCTTTAAAGTATAATTTATCTGTTGAGATTCTGAAACACCGCAACCAAGAAATGTCCTTTCTGCACCCAACGCCTCCATTGAAGGCGAAGCTTAAGAGGACGGTATCTGTCAGTAGGTCAACAAATTTTTATCTATAGCTTTTACCAAAGTCTATGGAGTAAGATAAATGTGTGTTTTCCGAATAGATAAATATTCGAGCTTATTCCCGGTATGTTTGTTGCCTATGAGGCAAAATTGAAGGCGAGCTCCAAGTTCGATGATACTTGCAATAAATTGAAGCAGTGTGCTCGCAAGAATGAAAAAAACCAAATTGGGTTTGTTTTCATGTTGTCATCATCAATAATATATTTTTGAAGAATCTTGTCAGCTAACGACACGATTTTTAAGCCCTAATTTTGGAAGTTTCATCCGCTCACTCATACGGAAATTGACGACAAGACTTTCGGGGTTTTCCTCGCGTATATAAGCATGTTCGTATCAATATGACGTCAGTCTGGTCCGAGGATATCGCATGAACCCAAAAAATGCTGTATCGCCAGTCAACATAAAGCTCCAGGTTTCCTTGTTGCCTCTGGAAAATGTGTACAAAATCTTGCGGAAGGATTCAAATTTAATCCCATAGCAAGTCCTATTGAATCTTAAATGAATGGTCTCCAACGCCCCAAGAAGAGTTTCAAGTATATTTTAAGATGAACTCTGAATTAGCGAGAGCTTACCTTTTCAGAGTCTCTCAAAAAATGTAAAGATGCGTTTGTTCTGCTAAACGATGTCCAAAATTACGATGCCGGAATTCGGTCATAAAGTGGCGGACTCAAGGTGGCCATTGAAAAGATCGAATTTCTGAATAAAACGCACGAGTGTTGCGTTAATGGTCGCTTTTGTGCGCCACCGGTTGTGCGTCCGATGTACTGTATACGTTCTAACGGAAGTAACCCACGGTCAAGGTAACTCACGCATTCTTAAATCTTTAGATGGTTTTTTCGAATAAACGTGCCCCTAGCTGTTGGATGGATTTTTTACTGTTCCTATTTTAAGGAATTGTTAATACCTATACCTAAGTCAGGTTTTTGAACAACAAAGCACGACGCTTGATATCGCGTAAATATTTTTCATCACCGTTAAGGCTAGTGGCAATTTTGCAAGCTGGTAAGTGGCAACACTGGTTTTCCTCCATTTCAATCCATTAAAAATATCGATTTTAGTTAAGGGGGAGCTGCCGCCAAGAATCGATTGTTTTACATAAATTCAAATGGAGGAATAACAGAGGCCAACTTTCAAAACTCGCCACTGGTTAAAGCGAATGTTCAAATTTAACACAGTGCATTCTGGGTATACGATTGAAGTATTCCGAAGTTGAGCTTTTGGCTGTTTTTTTTTTAGAATACTCAAAATTTTAGTCCCTAGATCTATCATTATGAGGAATGTTCGTAGCGAGAATCTTCCATAATATTAAAATAAAGTAAAAAGTACTGTTACCATTTTGCAATCGATTTCAATGCCTCAATATCGATAGTTATAATTGAACCGGTGCTTTTGACTTAATTTTAAGACTTTAGAAAATTAGTTTCGGCACAAAAATTTCTCAAAGATTAAGCGGTAGGACTTAAATCTCGGTTCTCCTAAAATAATCCACGTTTACGTTGAACTTTGAAATTCACTCATCGTATTCGGAATGAATTCCGCAAAAGCTGTAGATCCACCTTCACAATAGGTGAGAATAACACTCAAGCCATTAATTTCTCTTGACAAAAAAAAAAAAAAATCACTCAAGCTATACACTCTGCGTCCAACCCTGTTCTCGTCGATTTTTCCGTCTCTCAGCATCTCACAAACAACTTACCTTATTATTTTCTAATTCTTCCTACCCATCTCCAGAGTAAATAGGGTCACGTTGGGAAACGGGCAGAAAGTGGCTGTAAGTGGTTGATTGCTCGACGATGATTGCCCCAAATGCTCTGATAATGTAATTACTGCGTCCGGTCCAATGGGATTTTGGGTGAGGAAGGGGGAGAGGGAGCGACGACAAAAAACCCACGACACAAAAAGGAACAGCCGAAAACATGTTTACACAAGGTGAAAAGCTACCCTCGTGGTTCGTGAAACTCGGGTTGTAACCGGGTCCATCCCTCGGGGATTGTGCGGTGATTGTTCATGTTCATGTTCGTACTGGAAGAGAAAGCGACGCGACCGAGACCAGAGGCTGGCCGCTTGGGTCGTTATAATGCCTTCAAGAGGCAGGAATACCACCCGCGTTACTGTGACACCCGTGGATCTAACACGAGCAGACACACATTCACTGAATGAGCGCGGTGTGTTAATTCCCTTCGTAATAGCTGTGAGCAGTCCTTTGAAGGGATGGCTTGTACTGTTAAGTAAATCAGAATCTTTCTTTCAAGCTGTTATGCAACCGACTCAAAGCACATGTAAAGTTTAAAGTACAAAATATAAAGGCAGGACGTTTCGGTACCTTGCGGCACCATTATCAACTGCTAAAAAATAATTTAAAAAAAAAGAAATTAAAATAAAAACCAGCAAACGGCGTTACATAGTGAAATTGGTAAACGAGACTGCAGTGATAACAGAATAAACAACAAACAAGGTACCATATGCAACAAACATCGGAAAACGAGAGAAAACTGATCACCGATGATTAAGAAAGTAAATTGCACGGGCGGTTTTATAATTATTTAATAATTTGTTTGTTGTTTATTCTGTTATCACTGCAGTCTCATTTACCAATTTCACTATGTAACGCTGTTTGCTGGTTTTTATTATAATTTCTTTTTTAGCAGTTTTTAATGGTGCCGTAAGGTACCGAAACGTCCTGCCTTTATATTTTGTATTTTAGCCTTGTTTCCGCTTTTTCCTGTGTTTTTGATTGTCGTTACCGTTTCGGGCTGCTCTTACATTCTCTTTGTTTTCCACTGTAAAGTTTAACTACAATATGAATTCCGTTTCTCTGTTTTAGGTATCCTCGGGACTACCAAACGCTACCCAATCACTTTTATTTTACCGATTTCGAGAGACACCATTCCGAAATCGCCTCATTTCATTTAGACAGGTGAGTGTTCATGTCTTGAACTCTCGATCTGTTACTCATTTAGGCGCATGGTTCTTCAAACTGTGTTTACACGGAGAAATCACATTCGCATAACAATTTCAATGAACTGTCCACACGCTCAAGGATCTAGACAACCACGTTGTGTATTCCAAGAAAAATTTCTTTGGAGGTGAATCTTCACAGGAAGTAAACAAACATCGAGATATGTAACGAATTTTGCCAAAATACCGAATACACTTAAAATCTTCGGCAAAAACATCCAATACGCTTAGAGGCACATTTCAGCAGTTTTTCCCCCAAAAATGGTACTTTGTAAAACCTAACAGACAACTGATAATAACCGAAGGAAGTATCGCATTCATTCAGTGAGTCGAAAGCTTAATTTTTGCGACCAGATACTTTCAGTCTTCATTACATTTTGNGGGGGGGGGGGGGGGGCAGCTAAAATGTGCTTCTAGGATATATGGGTTGTTTTTGCCCATAATGTAAGATGAAACCATAACTATAAATTTACCCCAAATTTTGATGGAATTCTACTAAATATTCACTTTCCTACCGCATGATTATTAATCTTTGTTCTGAAAGGAATTCCACGCGATTTAAAGGAATCCTCTCCCGAGAACTTTAGAATAGACAATCACTCCTAGAATCAGCTGCCAAACAAGCTCAGTAGTCACCACTATTTTCGCCTTATGATGGCTGAATGGGTCGAGAGATCTACTTGTCGTTTTCCTCGCAAAAGAACGTAACTTCATTTCAAGACGATTTTGAGACGATCTGTTCATACCCTAGCAATTTAGGTACTTCCGTAACGAAAAGATTGAAGAAGAACTGCCGGCTGTGTTATTGATCGACAAAGCGATAGTCGAAGAAAAAATGAAGCGATCCATTGGTTGAGATGGGTGGCTCTTATGGAGTAAGGAGAAAATGATGGACTAGCTTACCGCTAGTTAGTCTCTTAGTCTATTACCTACCTCCTTTGTCCATTGCAACCATCCCTATTCCACCAATAGGATCCCTCCGTATACCTTTTGTCTTCTTCCTCTACAGCTTTGTCTACGGCTTTGTCTTTAGCTTTGTCCATCAATTTCAACAATCGGTCCGCTTGGATGATTTAATAGTATTTCTTTCTATTCGAAGCTAATGTGCTTTGTGTTGTGATGCGTGTTGCAGGCTGCTGGGATTTAGGCGGGCCATGCCGGTGGTGGGTCGGAGACTGAACATGTCGACGGAGCTGTGGGAGCTGGCCGATGGGGAGCTTCTGAAGACGTTCTTCGTTTCGCCCTCGAGCAATATCTGCTTCCACGGTCGCTGCTCCTACTACTGCGACACCGGCCACGCCATCTGCGGGAACCCTGACACCGTCGAGGGCTCCTTCGCCGCCTTCCTCCCCGATAAGGACGCCGTCCCGAGGAAGATCTGGAGGCATCCCTGGAGGCGCTCCTACCACAAGCGCAAGAAGGCTCAGTGGGAAACCGGTAAGTCACCCGCGGCAAAATGGGTCAATAGAGAATTTGCACGTGTCTGAAATTTGATGAACTTCGTGTTGAAGTAGAAACTACTGAGTGAATTGATCACGAGGATACCCTTGGTTCATGAATTGAACAGTTGTTGGAGGAGATATGACAAAATGATCTAATATGCTAAAATCTGTGCGTTTAAATGGGAAATGCAGCCAGATGACGTCACTAGGCGGTACATTTTCTCATTTTTAAATCTATTTGTATACACTGGAAAAAAAATATATTGGATCTATAGTACAGACTCTTAAAAACATCGACAAGAAAAATACTCTTGATTCAATCAGAATTAAGCTTAAATCAAGAACCAAGCCTCTTAATTTGAGCGGATTTCCTTTTGATTTAAGCTTAAATCTGATTGAATCAAGAGTATTTTTTCTTGTCAATGTGTTCAAGAGTCTGGACTGTAGATCCAATGTGTTTTTTTCCAGTGTACTACATATATTTCCCATATCAGAAAAAAATTATGTAAAATTTTGTGAAATCTGCTCTTTAAGCACTTTCAGATGAAGTAGTAAAACATTTGCATGCAAATTCTCCATTGCGCTGGTAACAGAATCGTGTTTTGATCCTTGATTCTTGCAGCTCGGCTAATAAGCTTATAAGGTCTGGCCAAACAGCATCTTTCCACGTTGAATATTAACCGAGATATCGCCCATTCGAAAATTCGGTTCCTGGCGTCATCCACCGCGGTACTGACACCCTTGGTTTCTTCCACCTTGCTTTCATCCAAGTTAAACGTTGAGTAACCAGAGCGAATATGTGTTTCCCTGACGGATAAAATTAAGTTGGAAGACACCAAGGGTGTCATTACCGCGGTGGATGACGTCATTAACCGAATTTTTCAAAGCGCGATATCTCTGTTAATACCTATTGAAGCAGGTAAAAAGTTGTTGTTTGTACAGATCATAATATTTTTAGCTGATACCAAATAACGCGGAAGTAACGCGAAATATTGCGAAAATTTAGCTCCTTTAAACGGGCGGATAGACAATTTGCACAACGTACTCCGAAATCAAGACGATTTGACGATTGTTCAGCTACTTAAAGCGATCTCTGCTACTTGGGAAAAGGACGAGTCAGAAATAGTAGTTCCTGATCGTAAAATGCAATCTAAGTAAAATACCTATTCCCCACTCTTAAAATACTCTCAAATCAAATAGTAAAAAGGCGGAAAAATAGATACGGTTTTAAATCTAGACTTCTGCCAACGTATGCCTTAAGGCGGATTCCGGCATCGCGAACCTACAACCGAGTTGAATTACGTAATTATTGTACTTATTATTTTCGCCTCAACCGAGTCAATCTTTGTAAGTTATAGTCCTCATAATTATTGTCTCTTTAAATCTTATTTCACCACTTTCATTGTAAGTGTAATTTTATTATGCTCTGTATCTTGCGATAATAAACAACAAAAAAAACAACAACAAAAAAAAATCTAGACTTAGCGAGCGAAGGTAGTCTGTATCCATTACTTCAATTGGTTTCGTACAATTGCAGATTCGGATTATTGCAACATCGTGAAGGAGATCCCGCCTTACGACGAGGGTCGTCGGTTGCTGGACATAATGGACATGTCCGTTTTGGACTTCCTCATCGGGAACATGGACCGGCACCACTACGAGACTTTCAAAGTCTTCGACAACAACACATTCCCCATCCACTTGGACCACGGGCGCGGTTTTGGGAGGGCCTTCCACGACGAGATCTCCATCCTCGCGCCCATCATGCAGTGTTGCCTCATCCGACAGTCCACCCTTCAGACGCTCCTCAGGTAACCTCCTCACTTTACCCACGTCTTACATCAACTAGTCGGCGATTTTTAAAAATTCTTCAACTCCTCCACCTTTTATTATTAAGGAGTTTAAGAGTTTTTAAATCACACTGGAAAAAAACCACATTGGATCCAGAGTCCAGACTCTTAAAAACATCGACAAGAAAAAATACTCGTGATTCAATCGGATTTTTGCTTAAATCAAGAACCAAGCCTCTTAATTTGAGCGGATTTCCTTTTGATTTAAGCAAAAATCTGATTGGATCAAGAGTATTTTTTCTTGTCAATGCTTTCAAGAATCTGGACTCTAGATCCAATGTGCTTTTTCTCCAGTGCACAGGAATTTTCGTGTTCTTCAAAATTGCACGACTGATCAATTAGTTACGACATCGACGGTGAAATTGCGAAAATGCGTATAAACCGAAATAAAGTTCGGTCTTATGAATCGAACGTTCGGTGTTCCACATCATCCCAACTTTTCGGCTCGTCAAACTGAACTTTCGGTTCGTGTAACATAAAATTCGGCTTTTATGATCGAACTTTTTTCGTCAGTTCACTTTACCGTTGAAGTTCGGTTACACGAACCGAAAGTTCGGTTTAACGAATCGGAAATTTGGTTTGACAAACCGAATTAGTTGGGATGATATGAAACACCGTATTCCGGTCCATATGACCGAACTTTTTTGTTCAGTGTATATTGGTAGCGGTGTTTCAAAATCCCCAGTCCTTTTAAGTGCTCAGCCGATACTAACCGCTCGGCCGACACTAAACGCTGAGCCGATAGAGAGCGTACCTTGAGTGTACCTCTCTAAGTGTACCTTAAATTTTGATAATGGCGGAGGAATTAAACCTCAACCCTGTTTCTCTCGGGTCAAACTTAATGCGACTCACTTGTTGCGTTTTCCCACGCAACTTTCTCGTGTGACTGTTGAATTTCCGAATATTCTCGGAGATGACCTTCGGATCCTCCACTCACCCAGCCTCCCGTCGAAGAGTATCGTTTACCCCCTTCGTAAAAAAAAAAAAAAAAAAAA